TCCTTGGCTTTGCTTTGCTGTTTTTGCTCGTGACAGAAAGTTGCGAACAATCGAAGCCCTCGAGCATCGGCAGAGGTCCCAGCCAATCAAATTGCTCGACAGATCATGTGCCTGATCTTGTGACCGAGATCAAGCCTGCCCATCACTAAGCATTTAAGCTTCTCTCTCCATGTGAATCCTGCTTTAACCATCAGGAAACCACAGCTGTTTATTCTGCTTCAAGTTGGCAAAAAATGCACAGAAAATCCACAGAATTCTGTGTTAGCAACAAGGATGAGATCATGTTGAAATATTTCACAATAGGTTTTAATTTGGGCAGGGGTGGGCAAACACACTCCGAATAGATTTAATTTCAGGTGAATATTAGAAGCTCTGATCAAGGTCTGTCACAGTTTTTCTTATCAAACAGTGATAGTCTTTTGTGATATCTTTTTTGAGTATTTTTCTTTCTTCCTTTGAGCTCGCAAGGAGACTGTGTGACAGAAAACAATTCTGTATACAAGAACCAACCTGTTTGAGATCATCCGAAAATATGACAATCATCTTTCCTCTTTTCTCATCTGGCTTTGGTTTTCTGGAAGCATATCTAACAACAACAAAGCTATCAGTTTGTGAATGTAAGTGACCTTTTCAGAACCCTTTCGACTTGCTGTCAGCAAGCTTTGACTTAACAGCTGTTTACCTTTTATCTTCTGGGTGTCGTGCGTTAATACACACCCACACAAAAAAGATGACTGTGCGTTCGTACATGTTGAGGAGACTCTTAGATACCAATAATCCCTTGATCCAGCAGGCACAGACACACACACTCCCACACAAACAAATACACACATCGAGGATTGAACAGCCTTTGCCACTAATGATTTTCTCAATCCTCAGTAATGACTTCTGGAAGGAGGGTGATGCCAATAAAAAAGACAACAAAATGATGATGACAAAGGGAGAAAAAGTGTATTTCTTCTTAAATGTTTCCTTTTCTCATCTATCTCATTCCATTAAGCTGTTTTTTCTCTCATCCAGTGTCTTTTTCTCATTTTCAAACTTCAGATTTGAAGAAGAGCAGCTATTGTCCAGAGCTGGACTTAGACACCAGTTCTTATCTGCTCCTAAAGAGCCTGTCTCTAAATCCCCCCCACCCCCCACCCCTTCTTCCTAACTCTTTCAAACTCTCCCGTCTTGACTTGTTTCTATCAAGTCGACAAACTTTAATTTCCTGCTCTTCCCGAGTCCAAAGAAGAAGCTCAATTAGTTCTCTCAGAAAACTGACCTCAGTGCAGCTTCAGCTGTCGCTTAAGTAACATGAAGGCTCAGAAAGTGTCAGAACAGGACTGCTGATTAACAGCCAGCCTGTTCTGTGGTTTTATTCGGGCAGATGGTCTGTTCAGGACACAAGGAGTCATGGCGTTTTGCGCATGAACTCGGACTTGAGGGAGAGAGGGAAAAGTTTTCTATTTGACAGACTCACGAATGGAATGAATTAGATGGTATTTTGACTGTAGTCTCCAACTGTAGTTTATAACCTTCTAAAATGTTTCAAATTGAGCCCTTTAAAAGGAGGAAATACAAGAAGTATCAGTTGAAAATGTTTTAAACGCACGATGATGTAAAATTAAAAAAAAGAGCTCTAATGGTCTTGTGTTGGTAACAGTGTCGGCAGGATATTCCTACAATAATGTACCCCTCACCATGTCTTTGGCTTTTAACCCCTGCTGCTATTAAGACAGATGATAGACACATTAACACTCGGGCCAAATAGTTAAATGGGATCGTAGTTTGAACAGATTAAACATAATATCAGGAGCATCATGGGTCTCAGCAGATGGACGCATTGAAAACAGTAATGATTTCAACTCAGAGAGCTTGACGGTGGCGGGTGGGGCAGCAGAGATCTGAGGGGCTGCGTGTAATAATTCATCCATCTTTCAGCTTTGATTCATGACTTCTGTGGTGAGGAGAGCAGAACAAATAAACAACTCGAGAAAGAAAAATAGGCAAGAAAGGAACAACGGCCCCACCACAAAAAAGAGCCAACAAAACTGCCGAGTGCTCCCGTTTTCCTCCTGTTCTCGCCTCCCTCATATGGAGTCTGACCCAGGGTGAAATGCAGCTTCAAACGAGCCCACTGGCTGGACCTGTGTGTGTGTGTGTGTGTTTAATGTAATTGCTGCCCCAGGTGTGCTCACACTTAATTGTGTCACTACATGTGCGGCCGACCTCCTGGCTCTGAGCTATGGTTCATTATTACTGGAAGGGGATATTTTGAGCGCGTGTGTGTTTTCATAGCTGTGTATTTTTGTTGACAAAGTCGCAGTGTGCAGCGGGTGTCTGAGGCAGAGACGTCCGGTATTATTATTGTAATATATTACTCTGATGCCACGCTGTTTGGAATGTTAGCAACAGAAAACTCATTACATCTCCCATCTATCATTTCCTCTCTCAATTAGCATCAGCTCAGACCTACATTCTTTTTTTGGTCTTCTCAAACAAACATGCAGAGGTTTTCACCTCCTCTCTCCCGGAGCATCTTTTTTGTCATATTTAGTTTTAAGATGAGGGGACACAAAATGCTATAAAGCGATAAACGGGTGCTGGTTGTCTTTTGTATAAGCGTAGTTAGATCATTTTAGTTTAAAAACACATATCCAAAAAAGCTAATTTTATTGCCCACACGTATTTTCTGCTATTTCAGGTGGCAGACTTTCGGAGATTATACAAAAGCCCAGTGTTCCTCCACTATCTAATGTCAGTGTTAGAGAGAGGAAGGACAAAGAAAGCTAAGTAAGTGTGGAGGGAGATATACAGCCATGTGGAGATAACTGTTAAGACTATTTGCATTCAGCTCTTGTGGTGATATGAAGAGGCATGTTATTAACATGTAACCTTGTTGTAATCGATCACACTCCTCATCTGTCCACTCTATATTGAAGGAGACCTTTCAGCACAAAGCTCATGCCGATGCTAAGTGGATTATCTTCTCAAGGTGGCTCATCTGTCTTCCTACTCTGCTTTGCATTGTTACTTCACTTTGAACAGACTCTTGAAAAGCAGCTTTCACTTTCCTGACAGAAACTGAGTAATTGATTAAATCTGAGCGTACAAGTGTGCTGGTCTGGGCTCCCCATAGGGGTGAAAACAAAAGTAATCCTCAATAAACAGCCTCTGGAAACCCTGTAACACACAGTTGTGGAAATATTTGCACATTCATAAATTGGCAATCCATCAGACGGACAGGCGTGTAGAAAGTGAGCAAACTTTTAAGGCCTTGTATTCCTGGTCAGTGAGACTCTCTAAAAGCTACAACTATTGGAAAGATGCTGTCACATTTTATCACTCTCTTGGAGATGGCCAGGAGGTACTTTTTTCCCTGCCCATGAAGGTTCAGCATGCTCTAAACATGGATTTTGAACACTAACACTCCCAAACTAAACACAGTTTCTGTTGTCTATAACAAAAGCAGAACCCTTTGGTTTTTTAGTCATTTAATCATATCTATAAATAGAACCTCACCAAAATTATTTTTTGGTCTCTGTTATTGGGAGTCTTACTCTGTGCTGTCCACATCCCACTATCTCCTAGGCAATTTATACTTACTTTTAGGTTATCGATACTTATTGAAGTTTAAGCGAGAAGGTACTATCTGATCCCATTAAACAGATAGCATCCATGTAAAGGCTTGATAATACCAGGAAGAGGTCCACACTCCCACATGGGCTGGTTGGAGGGTTTGGATGTGTTAATGTAGGTCAGATCTTACACTGTAATTTGCTCTTTTCTGCGCCGAAGAGTTTTTATGGCATTATTTTTGAAGGACTATTTTTACTCTGGATTAGTTTACATTCGCTATATTTGGGAGGTTTTATGGAGGACTTTGTGAGCTTGACTCATCGTAACAACAGTCGCAGTCTTCTTCGTTATGAGGACAATGTCACCCACTATTGGTGACTCATTTATTTGTTTTTATTTATTTTAGGACAAGAAAGGAGCTTTAATCCACGGAGGAGTGCGCTTCATTAGGCTTTTGAAACAAAGGCAGTCCTTCTTAGAGGGGTGAATTCACACCAAGGATATCATGGATTTATAAACACAAAATGTCTTTTAGCTAATTCTTTAAGAACATATGAAGAACTTTTGCCTTTCTTGCCGACAACTAAGTTTATTGCACCTAAAACAGGCAGTACTTTCTTGAAAAAAGGATAGGGGGTTGGTTAGGATGATTCCTTTTGTTGCTTCAAATGATTGCTTTTATCTCATGTTTAATTTTTCTCAAAGTAATTCTGCTTAATGAGTTAGCTAACGTGTTCTGGCTGCGACAGTGAAAAAACACGTGGACTAATGAGTAAGGTTTCGTGGCTTTCAGAACCTGGCTCGTTAAATCCAGGGTTATGGTTTCAGGGCCCTGATTTCTCAAATATTTTAATGATGCCAGTTTTCAGAGTGAAAGAAAAGTATTCATCATCCAAATCAGAAATGTTTAGCTCTCTTTTAAATTAATCTGAATGCACTATCCCCAGCGCACATTTCACCCATCAGAGCTCGAACGAAAGATGGATAGATGTGAAGACAAAAATATGCTCTGACTTTTTTACTGTTCGTTGTAATTACCTTTTATGTTCCCTTCATACTCGCTGACTTCAAAGACTTTGTTTATTTTTTTTAGCTGTATATGGTTTTCAAAGCCTGTGCATATTGTTAAATGATGGATTATGCACAGTCTGTCCCTGGAAACCATTATTTCTGCATATTGCTTTGATACTGGAACTGTATTGCTTTGAAGCCTAAAGCTGTCTGTCCCTCTCCATGCATCCTCATGCTTTTTCGTCCCTCCATTTTCTTTCCACACTCCTCCCTTTTTCATTCACTCTTTTCTCTACTCTAATTCTCATCTTGCTCACTTTTCGTCTTTATTTTTTATATCCCCTTCCCTAGTGGGGCGTTTGTTGATCGAATTCAGTTCCCTGATGACGATGGAACGTGTGCAGAAAGAAAACCCCAACGTCACAATGGGAGGGCGATACACACCCCCAGACTGCCGGCCAAGATGGAAGGTCTGTGAATTTTCCTCTGTCTGTGCAGTTGACATAGAAAATACTGTGTAATGAAATCCTTTTCAACGAATATGCAATAAAAAGAGATATGAGATGTCACAGATCATAACCTAATGATTCAGTTAGAAGATTATTTAAGAAATAAGGTCAAAATGACATAAAGAAAATCAAAGTGATATTTAATCAAACATAAGAGGCAGTTCATTTGTAAAATCATTTTATGTTAAGGTTAAAACCACTGTCATCATTTTAAAGAAGAAAGATTAGTAGACACTGAGATTCTCTGAGGGTATATCAGAAGAAGATAGACTTTTTAAAATATCATATTGGGAACTTTTTTCCCCTTTTACTGAGGTAAACACCTTTTCCTTAAAACATTTAGATTACAGGCTTACAAAAAACTAAGAGATTTATAGACAGATACATTATATTGGTACCTTTGTAAATCAATTTCCTCAGATCATATACTAACAACCTAAAAACCACTGATAATCACCCCCTTTCTCAGCTTTTGTTTTATTTGTATTTAGTTGCATTGTCTAACCAATCAAAGCTGAGAATGCCCATGGTCACCTCCTTTAAAAGAACAGCTTTTGACGTGGGTCCTCCTCATCCTTTATTGCCCCCAATCTGCCTGCCTCCTGCTCATGATCCTGTACTTGAGGGCTACCTTTGGGATTTGCTGATGGGAAGTTGTGTGGAGAAAAAAAATGCATCTGTCATTGATTTTGGTCTCTGAAGTGAAATGGGAAAAATTGAAATAAGAGTCCTGCTAATGAAGAAAACCCAAAGTGAAGGAAAGAGACCACTGCTGCATGCAAACAGGAGTCATTTTATCAGTTGCATATTTTTTTACCTGCAGTCAGTACATCCAAAAGCTCTGAAGATGGAAAAAGGAGAACTTGTACTCTTAAATGGATGGATGCCATTTGGATTCCTTCAAAGCTTTCTGGCAGCTCACTGTGGTGCTCTTGCTCTGATTCTGAGTGTTTTTGTCTCAACAATCATTTCAGATATGAAACCAGTTGACCCAGGTTTTTATTTCACAGATTTAAGGTCAACTTTCTTCATTGTGCTTTAATTAGTAGTGTGCTCAGGTATAAGAAAACCAAGCACAGTTGCATGGCGTCTTTTTTAGATTGCAAAATCACCTTTTGAACATTTTGAACCTTGAAACTTTACTATTTGTGCATATCTTTTGTTCACTGCAAGTGATTCACTGTAAGAATAATGTAAGAATATCTCTATAAATGATTCACAGTCAATTCACTTATCAAAATGACTGTGCTGTTTAGGTTGCCATCATCATCCCGTTCCGTCACAGAGAAAATCACCTGAAGTACTGGCTCCACTACCTCCACCCAATCCTAAGACGGCAGAAGATTGACTACGGCATCTACATCATCAACCAGGTAAGTTGGCTGAGAGTTGAAATGCTGAAAGGAGGCACAGTAAGGGTCCAAAAAAGCCTGGAAATAATGCATTTTGTAGCTGAGAAAAGGTCAACTTGTCATACTAAGCATAAAAGTCTGGTGAACATTAGGGGGCAAGCACAGGAGTTGCACTGATGTGTTTTTGTAAAATGTCTGGATAAGATCTTCCCAAAGTTTTGCAGCAAAAACATAAAAAACAAGTAACGAGGCAGGTGTTGTACTGGCATTCATCATTCCAATGCTTCAGTCTGCAGACAGGCAATGTCCCTGATCCTCTCTAACTTCACATTTTCTCAGATGTGCCCACCATCCATAGAAATCCAGACAGCTCTCAATCATGACTCATGGTCATATAAGTCTGTAGCAGGCTTTTAAGAAAACAGACCAGCCACTCATTACTGTTACTCAAATGTACTAATTGGCTAAACTGACTTTGGTATACAGTATGCAGAGGACCTCTTCTTGTTTTTCGTCATATCTGTGCTCTCTCTGTGTATCCATTGTACATCTGCACAGTCTCCAGGGTTCTGCAGGGATACAGAGTGAGAACAGCTTTCAGTGTCTAGCTTTCTGCTCTTCCAGATTCGTCGGTGGTCCCTGTGCACATGTTGTAGAGGAGGAGCTTTGGAAGAAGCCAAATAAGTAGGAGGGAAAAGCTTTTGGCTGTTTGGCTCTGTCTTTCTTTAGAAAAAGGTAGCTCAGATAAGAATGAGCCTTCGGAAACGTGATGATCCAAACCCAAAATAAACTGTCCTTTGATAAAATAGTGTTACATACAGTGTTAGAAACTAAGAATCTTCCTCCTGACAGGTGAGATTATAATATGACAAGAAGTCGTGAGCTAAATTGTTCAGTTTATATTAAGTCTTGAATGTTGTCATGATTTATGAAGGCACTGTAGCCATTCTCAGGTGTTTTTATAACATAAAAAGAGGACGAAAACACTCCATTACAGTGTGGAAATCAGCAAGTCATTGTTCAGGTGCATTTATTCTTAAAAGCTGCTTTCACCCTGTCCTGTTTATAACGTATTCAATTTGCTTTTAAAACTCATCTGCTGAGTAAATCTGTTCTCTTCATTTTATTTACTATGGGCTCAGCCGATGGATTTGGAATAAGAAACGTGTTTATGAGTTTTCCATGCAGCATTAAGCAAGAATTTCTCTTTTTCTGTATTACCGAGTATGAAATATCCTTCCTGCCCGTTAACTCCTTTGTGACTATCAGCAACACGTTAATAACTCCCTGTTTAGAATGGACGTTTGGTTCTGCCTGACTCGGTGCTGCCTGCTCTTAATGTGGCCACGTTCCAGGAATGCACTCCCTGTTTTATATCTATACTCTCGCATATGTAAATATCTGTCTCTGCATCTCTGAATCTCTCATGTCTCAAAGGTAAAGCTGTTAGTGAGAGAAAGCTGCTGGTGCAACAAATGGACCATTTCATAAGCTGGCCCTGTCTTTACCCTTGAGGTTGATTTTCACAACTAAAAGACTGCCTTGACTTTTCAACATAATTTAGTTTTGAAATAAAAACAGCAGCTCAGAGAAAAATACAAATTTGCACACGGCATCCCTCACCACTGGTGTCCACCAGCGGGTTCAAGGGTTACCGCCGTGACAGGATACAACACCCCTGTGACCGCAGCTCTGGGAAGCCGATTTTGATGAAAAATCAAATTAAAAAAGAAAGGAGAAAAAATAAGACAAGGAAGGGATGATAAAGAATTATAAAAACAGATAAAGGGAAGAGGAGTGGGCTTTATAAGGCATTAGAGAAAAAAAAATCTTACTGTCATCTATCAACTGCAAGGGGAGGAACTTAATGCCTTGCTCAAGGACAGTTTTGCTGTGAGATTAAACCGCTCTTCCAGTTGAAAGACAGACTGTTCATTGAACAAGCAGTCTGCCCAACGCTTCTGTTATATGCCAGCCAGCACAGCTGATGTAACATCGCGTTACATGAAAGATCAATTTCACCTGAGCAGAGTCTTCATCTCTGTCACCTCCACTTCAAACACACACTGATTCGCTGCCTGGCTGCAATTATCAGTAAAACCATCAGCATTTGCTCTACTCTGGGACTCAGAGGTTCAGGGGGCATGCTGTTTGAAGTGGAAATTACTTTCATGTATTACTAAAACATATTTGAACTTGTTGAGGTACTGAACAACTCTGAATGCGTGCAGCTCGTTCTGAGAGGTTAATTTCTTCCCTCCTGTTTTAGAATTAGTTTTATACTCACCTAAAGACCACCTGTGAGAAAATTGCCATGGTTACATGTTTAGAAATCACCTCCTGATGGCAGAGGTGAGCCTAGCTTTAAAGCTGCCATTGAAATTTCCCTAAAGGGATTACTTAACCGTAATGTCTGCATATGAGTGGCTGGAATTTACATTTCATCAAATTTGGTGAAGAGAAGAATCTTGAGGTTTAATGATTTTTTATTCAACAGCTGTTTATTGAAATATTGTAAAAATCATACTTATTCAGCATAAACTTTCACTTCAAGGCGTACTGTTATATTTGAACAAACATCTTGTTACGTGAAAATCAGAAACAGGAAAACAAATGCATTTTTATAGAAAATATTAGAAGGTGATAAAGCTGTGTTTTCCCAATATTTCAATTAAACCATCCATCCATCCATCCATTATCAATACCGCTTATTCCCTCATGGGGTCGCGGGGGGAACTGGAGCCTATCCCAGTGGTCAACGGGCGAGAGGCAGGGTACACCCTGGACGGTCCGCCAGTCCATCGCAGGGCAACACACAGGACATACAACCACTCACACTCACATTCACTCCTAAGGGCAATTTCCCCAATCTCCAATCAGCCTAACATGCAGGTTTTTGGACTGTGGGAGGAAGCCGGAGAACCCGGAGAGAACCCACGCAGACACAGGGAGAACATGCAAACTCCACCCAGAAAGGTCCTGGTTCCCCCGGGATTCGAACCCAGAACCCTCTTGCTGGGAGGCGACAGTGCTAACCACCACACCACCGTGCCGCCTTCAATTAAACCATTCTCTCTAAAATACGCACCTTTCCAGACAAGTAGATGAGAGTGAAGAAGGATTGGCCAATAAATGGACAGGCGATCTGACTGAGAGGAACCGAATCAAAGAGACAGATGTTGGAGTTTGATGAGAAGAGGTCCTGATGTATCTGACAGGATCGACGATTAAACCGTTACAACGACTGACTCTGTCTGAGAGGACGATACAGACGTTTTTTTTTAGCATGTTCGCTCAAGTGTTAAATGAGTGAGGGGGGATCGAGGGGCTGTGTGTGTGTAGTTGAACGTAGAGGGTGGCGGGGGGAAAGTGTTGTTAATTTCCCCTTCCTGTGTTATCCTGGAAAACTGACGACAGCCATGTCCTTAAAGTGAAAACACGTGTTGTGGGAACACCTGAGTGTCAGTCCCTCCCACATAGCTCATAAACTGGAGCCATGCCAAAGTATATTAAATGCTGGCCAAGCAGCTTGATATCAACAACGATTGTAAAGATGACAGCAGATTCAGATCTATTTAAAGCCTATATAGTCACTCTGGGATACAGTTTTACCCTTGAGGAGCCCAAAGTCCGACATCATCCTCAAATCTATTTAAAATGTTTGGATAGCTTCAATGATCTGTTGTCATTTTCCCTAATAAATTCTGACCATAAATGGAGCCTATCCGCAGATTTCTTAGCTGAGTTTAGCTTATTCGAGATTCACCAGGATCAGCATTTGCACCAAGCTGCAGTCTAGAGCAATGGATTGAATAGAAATCTCTACGTTTTGCATGTCGTTGAAAGTTTTTTTATCTAAAATTTGTTTTGAGACATAAAACAGCAAAGGCACCTCTGAGTGTCTAATAAAATGGGACATTATTATCGGAAGGACCAGTGTATTCATTCCTTCAGTGAACCTGAAGAACAGGACATGTGCTTCCATTTTCTCACATGGTAAAAATCAGCATCCAAAGAGGCTGGTTCCCTCTTTTTGGTCCATGTCTGCTCTGACTTGTTGGCTCCAGTTGCATGATCAGACACCACCTACAATTCATGATCGTGTTTATTTCTTTAATACCAATAAGAACAAGCACGCGACATTTAACTTTAGTTGAGAACGTGCCTTTTGTCGGATTGCTCAGATACAGATGTATGTCTGTGACATAAAGTGATAAACATATGACAAATAGCTCTGATTTTGTTTGATTACATGGAGATAAAAATACAGTTACATATCAGAGAAATAAGTTTTCATTGCTTAAGTTACCTTAGTTTTTAGGTGCTTTTCATTTTAAAAACATGCCACAATATTGACATCTAATCTTATTATTATAGGATGATAAATCTTAAGTATTCTTTTCAGCAAGTCATGGGGTTTCGAATTTGGCTTGTGAGCTTGGTGCAACCTGCTGCCCAACTGGACTCGATGGAGCAGCTATCATTTCACTTTGAAAAGTGATCCGGCTGCCAGCGAGGTACAGTGAGTAGGCGTTGCAGAGGGATCATGCGGAAAGTGATATAGCAACCTTGCTGTTCTGTCCTGCTGCTCTGTGTCCTCTCGGCCCGGCGAGGACCGGGGCCAGGGTTTGTTTGTTGGCCATAGGCTCATTGTGTAAACTGGAGTAAAGCCCAGATAAAGCAGAGAGGAAGAGGCAAAGTAAAAAAAAAATAGCAGGTGAGAAAAACGGTGTTGGAGGAAAAAAGGAGAGTAGCACCATCTGCTACTTATTTTTTTTCCCCTTAAATATAATTACTTGTTTATTTATTCTTATCCGTGTTGTCACATCAGTTCCTGGTGTCCAGTGTGTGTGTGTGCGTGTGTGGTTATAACTCAAAATATTTTGGACTACGTAGTATAGAAAATTGATATGTTGACTCACACTCATTCATTTGAATGAGAGCTTTTTACATGAACTTAAAGTAGGAATGGAAGAGCTGACTTCCATATTTTATACAAGTACAGTCATTTTCAGTCTCTT